ATTTTAAATTTTAAAAGAAATATAGGAGAAAAATATAATTATTTTTGTTAAAGAAACAATTCATACGTAATCATGTATGTTAATTTACATTTATGCACAAGTCATAAGTTTATAAATCTATAATAAAAAAAATTGTATAACTTTTTAATAATGTAATAATTTATTTTTGTTTTATAAATTTTATTAGTTTAATTATATTTTTAATGATATATATATATATATTATTTTTTTATTATATTATATAAATAAATAAATTGATCTATTAAACTTTTCTATAAGCCTAAACTTAGCCTTTTTATATAAATAGACTTTTTTAAAAGCTTAAATTTAACCTTTTTATTAACCAAGTCAGACTAGGTTAGACTTTATTATAGGTTACTGTTTAAGGTTTAACCTATTCTCATTCTTAATTAGGAATATATATTTATCCCTAATTAGAAGTATATATTTGGTAGTAAATTGTGTAAATAAGGAGAGTGTAGTTATTTATAATTTGTGGACACAAAATACTCTCTCTAGGAGATTGACTTTTGTCTTTGGGACAATAAGTATATTGTTGTATGGACAATACTATTGTTGGTGATGTTCTTTAATTAAAATTGAAAATTTACCTTTGTAATATACATTTACATTTAATATAGATCTCGTTAATATGTATATGTATAAATATTATCAAAATGAAACTCCAATTCTAATCGGAGAACAACGCGAATTATACCTGAATTTTGTCCTTGTATTGTGTGTGATTTCATTATTCAATATTATATTTTATTACCTTATCAATTAATGTTCTGTCATTAGGATAGCTACCAAACTTTGATAAAGCCACATTCTAGTCATTTTCAGTGCTATGCTGCTCTAACAATACAAAGCCACAACTAAGATTAGAAAATCAAATAAAGTGCACCCACCTTGGTTAGAAAATGACCAATGCATAGGACATAATCAATTGGTGCCTTCATGCCTTTGTTATGAACTATCTCTCCAAGGATACGATCAATAGCTGCTCCCTATACCAAAATACCAGGTAGGAGGACAAAAAAGTGTCAAGGTACTAGCATGTAGAGGAAATAAAGCTTCTGAACAGAAAATTATTGGTGAGTAGAGACTCTAGTACTAGCTAACTTAAATTTCTTATACCTTTGACACACCAACTGCGCGAACCTCAACAGATCGACCACCTTGGACAACATCAAGAGATGCATTTGATATTGGCCCTGTCCACAGATGTTGAAGCAGATCTCTTGCTTGAATCCTTCCGAACTCAACATCTAATATTAATTGCAGTCACAATAAGTTAGCAATTAACAACAGTAGGCTGAAAAGGAGATGATGTGTATCAACACAAATGTCTTATTAGAAGAAAATTAGTGGGTTGAAAAATAAAAGGAAAGATAGTAACAGAAAATTGTCACATACCTGCATACTTGTAATTCCATACTACTGAAGTCTCCCTAAGCTCAAAATGAGACCGCGGAGTTCTTTCAGTAAAGTACTCAAAAACATGCTGAAATTTAATAAAAATGAGAAAAGAATTTAGACTTGAAATTAAAGGAACATAGTATGAGAAACACTTGCATCCATGCAGCCAATCTACCTTCACGCTATCAACCCAATCCATGTTTAAATTTTCAGGCATGGTTGTCATCCAATCACTTGTAGTACGTCGCAGAAACATCCCATTTTCTGCTGCCAACCACATATTAAATTCACTGAAGTTCTGCACAAAGTAGTTGTTAGTCCAAAAGCAAATGTTGCTGAAAATCCAAAAACACATGAACTTTTCTTGATAATACTTTGTCCAGGACTGCTCGATCGCTCCCACTCAGAACAACTATTGTTGTCTTCGGATCCTCGGATAGCTTCTTTAAAGGTTCCTTCATATTTGGGTGTAATTCCAGTTCCAGTTCTCTAATTTGACCACCCCTTCCAAGGGCATCCACTGGTTCAGTCAAAGTGGCATTGAAACCCTGCAGTGCAATGTGGCAAAATGGTTTTGTTAAGTGGAAACACACAAGTCCTCGTGTGTGTTTCTCTTTAACATGTGCTGTGCACTTGTATATTGCACAAAACAGTGTGAATAATTTTGGAACAGCCCTTTATTCGGTGTTTGATGATCTAACTAACAGCTTACCATTATGATTAATCGGTTATTGGATATTGAGTAACGATCAACAGCCACTTTGTTGGGAAGAAATGGTGGAACTTGTCTTGTCCTAAGCTGAGCTTCAACAATGGTATCATTCAGTTCACTGTGTAAAAAGAAAACCTTGAGTTTAGAATAAATAATCATGAAAATCATAAGTGGCACAAACTGCCATAGAAGGTCAGGTCAAAATCTAGAGCAAAGATCAACCAATATAGATATCTCAAAGACGGAATTTCCATTTTTCCATCGATACTATTTGATCAACTACATTTTCAATCAACAACTCATCTCAAATTATTGAAATCTCGAAAGAAAAAAACCACTAAAGCTTTTTCTTCTATCTACTTTGCATTAAACATATTGGATGATATTACATAAGCATATCATAAAACACAATTTCTCAACTTCTGCTGTCATGCTAGTCCTCGTCAAAATAATGCAACAGAAAATAAGTTATTAGCAGTCTAAGGCATCAAGTTGTCATCTGTAACTGTTTCATCCTTTTCTAACTATTGCAGGTAGGATGGTTGGTTCACAAAAAAAATAGAACAAAATTGATCCAAGATGTAACCTCACAAAAGTTGCAGCCCATTCTTGTGACGTGTGAGCTTTCACATGTTTGAAATTAAACTGATGCCGTTTTTCTCTTTCATCAGCTGGCATATCCAATGCATAACCGATGGAAGCAGCAACTTCTGTGATGTTCCATGGATTTACCAAGATGGCACCAGCACCAAGAGACTGTGCTGCACCTGCAAACTGATACCAAATCAAGAATTCAAAATTATTTGAATGATACTGAAAGCTCAGCCACCTAGTAATTTTAGGAGTTGATTATGTTATAATAAAATAATTGGAGATATAAGAACTTGTTTATACTTTTAACTAAGATATTCCCAGACAAACGTTAACTTTATAAAGGATATTTTCTACAATATGATCCCACTGAAGTCCTGAACTAGAAGCCTAGTGTTAACCTTATCCTTTTCTATTTGTCACTTTATCACAAAAATTCCACTTTTTAATTTTGTATAAACACTCATGGTTGTACATTTTTCGTATATTTGACATTCGCAACATGAATATAGTAATAAAGGAAACCCAAACTTGTTTATAATTCTTAGGACTTGTAAGCTTGACCTAGTTAAGGTTAGGAAAGTCTTATTCATTAAATGAACAATACATTTGTTTTATTGAAAAAAAAAAAACTATACTGCCACACTTTGCATACAAACACCTCAACATTACCATGCTTGGTGGAATAATCATTTGAAGTTATGGTGATCTTAGTATTTCTTTTTCAAATATGAAGAGCAATCAGAGTATCCAAGAGATGGAGCCAAAATAAATAAATGAAGACATTAAAAAACTGAACTACCTCACTTAAAATGAGAACCCCCTTCTTGGATGCTTGGCACGCAACAAATTCATAGCTGACAAGATTCATTCCATCCCTTAAAGATGTAACAAGTGCTACATCTAAATAAGATGCAAGTCAGACTGGCATGTACATATCATGGATGCTGAATACTTAGTTCCATAAAACTACTTATGATGGATTTTATAATATAATATATAAAGAAGATACGCTGGACCTGTTGCATTTTCTGATTCTCTGGAATAGTTAAGGTCAAACCTTAAATGCATAAGGAGAAGAAAACCAAGAAAACATTTGTACAACAGAAGCATAAAGAAACAATTCAACTAGTAGTGCAAAAAATATAATTCACCATCAGTTGCCAAAAAACATAAATAAATAGCAATCAGTTCAATTTATTCTTACACCAAGATACAATGTGTTGTAAGCAGTGGACTTAAATCATACAGAGATATTAAAGAAAAGTGAAAGAGTTTGCAAAGATAATGAAATTTCTCTTCCAATAACACAAAAGAATGTCCTACAGCTTGAGTATTTCACCAATCAAATAACGAATTTTTTACTGGAATAATATTTTTTTAAAAAAAAAT